TGTGTACACGGAAACATTGGGTGACCACGTAGATGTGTAAGTATACTATGTACATGTTAAAGATATAGATTTGTCTTTGTAGGTATAAGGACAAGGTAACTTGGTTTACGTGAATTAAAGAACATGATTATATATGTAAATGTGTATAAACACAACATGTGTACATCTTTTACTTGTGTACATTGTATATTACTAAGGCAATGTTCATAAAATTGTGTATTCTCGTTAAAATCTTAAAATCATGTTTTGATTCTTAAATACATTGGAAAATAAATTAATTGAACTAAAATCAAAGCTAAAAATCATTAGATATGAATAAAATACAAAATCATGTGAAATGTTAAGAATCAAGACTATACATGTGAAATGAGTTTTGTGTTATTCAACATACGTTCAAAGACAAATCCAAATTCACAAATGCATCAATGTTCTGTTTAAAACGCGTACATATGAACCAAAATCATGTTGATACCTATAGATGTACACATGGGAACTATCAAGCAAAATTAACACAAGTTCACTATAAGATATATGTACACATGGACATCTCACTAAACATTGGATGGTTAAGAAGGTTAAGAAATCGTTAACTACGGCTGGTAGAAGAATTCACGAATGAGTCTTGTTTAGATGGTTAAAAAACCGTTAACTATGACCGGTAGAAGAATTCACTAGTGTTATAATCCATGTGAATATAACAATCATTTTAAAATGATACATCTCAAGATTTGAAATTTCCATGTAATATGATTCTTATTGATAATCATGGCAGAGCTGAGTTTCTAGGAAACATTTGTTCCTAACGTTTAGTTTATATAAATAAATAACACTAAACGAGGGATTTACACCCAAGGTCAGTTTCAAGTTTATTATTACACTATAAAGTAGTTGTTGCTACTAGAGTAGTATTGAGTAACATTAACTTCTTTTTTTCTAACTAAGTGTAACTTCAACAATTCTCTGGTTTTCCTTTTTTATTTTCTTCTATTTATTGTTGTTTTTTAACCTTTTAATGTTACTTGTATTTTTTCTCCACTCACCGCCGTAAGTCATTTTCTTTCTTAAAAAAAAATGTAACTTATATTCTTCTCATACCAGCAACACCAGAACAACCTGTTTCTACTGCAGTCTTCAACTCTTCTAACTAGCTAGAAATAAGCGGTATTTCATTTCTAGGTTGTTTCTTTGTTCGTAGAATAAATCTTTATTGGGCTATTAACGAGCTCGATCTGGCGCGTTCATGCCTCATCTTGAAGCTCTACTCATCATCTTCCTCTGTTAGATTATTATTGCCTCCATTGTTCCGTCGCGTCTACTGCCACCAGCAAACATGCCATCGTTTTGTTAAATCGAGTTTCACAGATCTAGATGTTTGTTTAACTTTTACTTTTTGCATCCTAGCTCCCTGTATTTTTTATTCTTCTAAATTTGGCGCTAAACTTTTAAAAAGTTTAAAAATTTCCTTAAATTTTCCCTAAATTTTTAGATTGTGTATTTTAACCCCAAAAATATGTTAAACTCCCAAAAATATGTAAACATTTTTGAAAAGGCAATATAAACATTTATATGCACACCTAAATGACTTAAATGAACTAAAATAACATTTTAAGAATCAATAAAATCAGAAGATATCCCCATATTCAAAATATTCATATGTATAACATTTCTGCAAAATGTTTGTATCCCCAAATCATGTAAACACAAGGTTTCTATGTGTAAATAACATGACATGATTTCAATTGTTTCTTCTATGATTTGAGATGTTTTTAACAATGAAACAAAGGGTTTTGGACAAGTTTCTAATTTGTTTATTCTCCAATTTGTCTCAAGTTTCTAATTTGTTCAAATTTATTCACGAATTTGGCCTTTGACTTTTAATTGTGCAATCTAGACCAAGAAAATATTCCGATATTACACCATTAGATCCCTGCCATTTTGTTTTATTTTGTTTCTGTCACAGATGTTTCTGATACTCAAAAAAATGTTTGTTATTTGGTTCCATATTTCCAAATGTGCATATATATATATATACATATATATATATATATATATATATATGCATCTTAAAAATGATTACAATGAGCTAAATGAGATGATAAATATCTTAAAATCATTTCTTATGTACATGTTTCTAATAATATATCTATGTAGCCATATGTACATGACACTATGTACACAAATTTTTTTTATCCACATGTACAATAATTTATATGTACACTAATCAATTGAGCAATAATTCACCATATATTGTATTATTGGCCATAAATCATAAATGTTATTTTGTAATTTAACCATAAACGTAAAATTTTGGATTAAAAAAATAAAAAATGCTTATTTTAGCTGAAATTTCAAAATTCTTAATTCGTTCCCAAAAAAAGATTTGCTAGAGTTTCACGCATATCATAAATATATAAAATCTAATTTTATTGAACAAATAAAAAATATATTCAATGATAGATTTGATACCTTCATACCATTTGATAATATTCACCAATATTATTTAAGTGTGATCCACACGTACGATGAATCTTGAATATCTATGTCTACATGTCACGGTGTACACAAGTATTTTGGTGTCCACATGTACAACAATGCATGTGTACAAGGTTTTACGATAAACAAAATGTACATTGGTTCACCTCTACTTATTAATTAAAAACTTTAAAACCGTAACATCAGTTTTTTCATTGGGTAAATTTTAAACATATATTTAATGGCAACTAATTAAGTTACTTTCTTTATCAAATTTATAGCTAAAAAATTCATTATAAATATTAAAATTGTATTTTCCTACAAAAAATCACTATTAACATATACAATAGTTCACATATGTACCAGTTCATTTGTACATGATTGGCATGTAAAACAAGTCAATGGTTTATATCGTCAATATGTACACATATGTTTCACCACATGTACACCTTTCACAAAAACTCCTATGTACACCGGCTCCTTTGTACACCAAATATATTTTATCATTCATTTGCAAATTTGGATATTTTAACGGCTAATATCGTCTAATATCAATTAAAATCTCCTAGCATAAACATAAGTGATTCATTTGGAGTGCACGTGAAAAGTAAGTGATTTAAGTATTGAGATTAATCTTCACCTCTGAAGAATATTGGGCTTAAAATCGAATGGTACAAAAGTTAAGGACCGAACGTGAAAAAATGCCAAAATTAGCCATTGTTGATCTCGAGCTTTTCCTGATGGTTGAATGGCCCGTGAGAGAGGAACGGAGGTCACATCAATGATGAATCACGATAAGGAAGAAGGCACTGGAATTTGGCGCGAAGGATTGAGTCGAATGAAAACTCGACGGATTGGATTCACTGTGTGACACCACGAAGAAGATGAGCACGGCGGCTTGGAGATCGAGCTTGCATGAGGCTCGTCGGTAGTTCCTAGGCATTCGGGTATTCGGTTTGGTTTTGGGTAGGAACCATTCGGCTCTGAGTATATCGGATAAAACATTCCTATACTCAATAGGTACTTATGAGATTTCGGTTTGGTTCCGGTTCGGTTCCGGTTTGGTTCCGGGTATCCATTTAATATGTGAATCATATATATATATTTATATAATATATTAGTTAATATGTTAATTTAAATGGTTTAGTGTTTACACACTTACGTATTCATCAATCCAACAAGAGTTCTATTCAATAAAGTGTTAATTTTATAAATATTTATTGTATTTTAATATAGACATATCATATATATTTAATATAAGAGAGTAGATAAAATATAATATGGTTGGTTGGTAACAATGTTATCACTATTCCTGTTTAATTTGGGTTCAAGTGGACTTGATGTTATTTTACCTCATATTTAAAAGCTTAAATTTATTTTTTGGATATTCGAGTACCCATTCGATTCTCAGTTATGTTCCAATTCGATTTTCCGGATATAGAAATATAAGAACCATTCAGATATTTGAAGATTTCGGTCCAATTTTGGTTTTGGGTATTTCGGATCGATTCCGATTTAGTTTTTCGGTTGCAGTTTTTATGCCTACCCACAATAATAAATCTGTGTAGTTAGGTGAATTTACAAACCATGCTTTGAATATCATTTGAATAATAGAAGAGTGGATCATATATCCTCATATTAATAAAAAGCACTATAGGATGACAAAAAAAAATAAAAATAAAAAAAAAATCCGTGGTGGTATCCCAGTGGTGTTTGAGAGAACAAACCCACTAAGACGAATCCATGTTCAAATCCTAATGACCACACAGATATGAGTTATTACTACTTATTTGAATGCCTAGGAGAGAGTCTATTCGTGGATTGAACCTCCACCTGAGAGTTAGGTCTGTATATTTAATAGATCCGGATATAACTCTTTTTGCTTAAACAAATAAAATAAATAAAAATTACTATAGTTTCCGTGGTCACTGATGTTATATAATGTATTATATAATTTTGGTATATACTTTAGAGAAATTTTCGTTCATCCACGATCCTTAAAACTAAAATTAGTGTTTCAAATGTAACATAAATTTTTCAAAATTTAAACCTATATACTTTTTCTAATTGAATGCCATAAATCCATACTTTTAATTTTCTTTTGGTTTTATTTTCCCATGACTGACTATTATTTAATATCATCGATCTAATGTTTTAAAATTTCTGTTTGTTTTAGTTAGTTGTTTATAATTAGAACTGTTGAAATGATTAAGATCGTCTTATTCCTATTTATAGTGCATTCTTTGTAATACTTCACTATTCTAAAGTTATTTTATGAAACATAGTACTTTTCCAATAATTAAACAAAGATGGTGGTTCCCGGTTTAATCGAAGCTTCTTTGCCGGTTAACTAAAAACAAACCAGCGTCGTATAGTACAGCGCATCATTGACACAGGCACCACAAACCCGACGTGTGACACATTGTTCTTAGCGTTTTCTTTATTATAAAACACTCACTCTCCTTCGTGGCCCTTTAACAACTGTATCAACATTTTAAATTTACTAAAACAATAATTATTCCATGCTTTTCTTCACAACAAGAATAATTAATCAAGATTATTTTATTTAGGTAAAAAAAAAAGATTGTCTCAGGTTTTAGTTTGTTCTTTTGACTTTCATCGTCTCCGATCTTCTCTCACCTAACGATCTCCAGCTTCAACCCACCGCCAAGAGCCGCCTTTGGGGATTGATAATCAATCTCAATCGGTAAACGCCGTCGTATTCCGCTTACTGATTCAGTTTTGTTTGGATCTAGATCGGATCGGTATAGCTAAATTACGACATGTTTCGATTGAATTGTATAATCCGATTTCCTTTATGAATCTCTTACTCGTTGTATAATTCAATTCCGTTGATTAGTACTAGTATTATTATTAAATTTTCTATTTTTCGTTAAGGATATGATTGATTCGTTTAATGTGTATGTGGACATAAGTAACCATCTGGTAATAACGACAATGACTCGAGTTTGTAAGTTTGTAAGCAAATGTCTTGTTGCCCTTTTATTTGACTTGACAAAAGTAGCAATCTTTTTTGTCTGATCCTCATATCCTTCAACTTGTGTCTTAGCCAATTGATTTTCATCTCATTTGCTTTTTTACATTACAGATCAGTTCATCGCAGAGCGCATCTTTTCTCAGACGAACTTAGGAAATGGTTAAAAGGTATTCAAATGTTTGTTTCTATAGAGGTTTTTCATTTGAGAAAACTTCTTCTTCCTCCTCCTCTTAAGTTTTGTTTTGTTTGCAGGCATGGAGAGATTTGATTTGGTTAAGATATCATGGCGCAGTGCATAGACGGTTTCAAGCACTTGTGCACCTCTGTTTTAGGGTGTTTTGATCTTGATTTGTATAAACAACCTGGTGGTCTTGGAGACCCTGAGTTACTTGCGAGAGATACTGTTTGTATGCTCTCTGCTTCTCCGTTCTTCTTTTTTTATTACATGATTTTTTTGGAAATTCCATTAGAGGAATGATGATTGAGTTTGTTTCTGTTGCAGTTAGTGTGAGTGAAATAGAAGCTCTTTATGAGCTGTTTAAGAAAATCAGCAGTGCTGTGATCGATGATGGGCTGATAAACAAGGTAAGAGCTTGCTTGTTCTCATCCTTTTGCTACTTGTAGTCACAATCTCCTTCTAGTTTTTACTCATCTCTTGTTCAAAAAAAATTGTACCAGGAAGAGTTTCAGTTGGCTTTGTTTAAGACAAATAAAAAAGAGAGCTTGTTTGCAGATCGGGTAATGTTTCTTTCTTTATAAATCCAATTTGTTAAAGAACAAGTTATGATTCGGTTTGGTTTGGTGTGTAGGTTTTTGATTTGTTTGATACAAAACACAATGGAATACTTGGTTTTGAAGAGTTTGCTCGTGCCCTCTCTGTCTTTCACCCAAACGCGCCCATAGATGACAAAATCCACTGTACCTCCCTAATTCCTTGTTGATAAAACATATCCTTGGTTTCAGATTCATGGTATGTATATGTTTTTTTTTTTTTTGCAGTTTCATTTCAACTATATGATCTTAAACAACAAGGGTTCATTGAACGGCAAGAGGTAAAAGCTTGTACAGAGTTTCAAATAGTTCATTAATAAACCTGTAAAACTGCACTATATCATCATCCTCGTCGATATTTTGTGCAGGTGAAACAAATGGTTGTCGCTACCCTTGCTGAATCTGGGATGAACTTGAAGGATAATGTCATTGAGGATATAATCGACAAGGTAAGTAGTCTACTCTGTTTTTTCACTCTTCGCTCAATAGCTTTCGTTGAAATTGATTTCCGGAGTTTTGATTGTTCAGACGTTTGAGGAAGCAGACACAAAGCATGATGGCAAAATCGATAAGGAAGAGTGGAGAAGCCTTGTCCTTAGACACCCCAGCCTTCTCAAAAACATGACTCTTCAGTATCTCAAGTGAGTTTCTTTTGATACAACCGACCGCGATTGAGTCTATACAACATAATTGCTTATCTCGTTTCTTTTTCTTCTCGATGATATGTAATAGATAAAGGTCTTGATCTTGTTTTGTGTGTGCTTGTAGGGATATCACGACTACGTTTCCAAGCTTTGTGTTCCATTCTCAGGTTGAAGACACCTGAAGATTAAAAAAGGCAAGCAGCAAGACTTTATGGTTTCTTTTGTTCATTTGTTTCATTGATCTTTTTTTGTGAAACAATAAACAAAATTCATTTTGTTTCTCTAAACACCTATGTTTTATTGAGCTTTTTTTGTTTGTGAAGCAAACTTCATTTCGATTTCGCCATATTTGATCAGGCCTATTTGTAGATACAACTTTTGCATCGTGATATGATTTATAAAGTTGTGATGTTTATTGATCTAACCAAAGTACAGGGGGGTTCTTAAATCGTTGTGTTTTTTTTTTTTTCTGAAGAATTTGGGAACGAATAAAAACCCAAGAAAAAACGATGATCTAAAATTTTCAGAACTATACCTATTTTTATCAAGCAAAAATTATGAAGCTATATCAAATTTTGTTCAAGCACACAGAGAATGGAGTGTGGCAAAGAAAGAGAAATTGTTACGGAGAAGAGAAATTTTTTTTATACAAACAAAATTAGGTGTTTTGTCTGTCCTTGCGGACATAAATATTTGTGAATATAAATATTTTATAGTTACTTATTAATATATGTATAATTATTTAAATATTATTAATATAAGCACTAGTTTCCTGTGTGGTTTCATAAAAAAAATTTTACTTCGATAGCAGATCTGCTCACTATTACCACGAAAAAGTTATTATTTATGTATTCATTTGAAGATTCTGTATATAAAAAAATAAAAAAAAATATTTGTAAATTATATTTATTATTAAACTTACAATACTAAAAGTTCTAAAATCTCAACATTTAGCCTATCCATGTAAGGAGATAAAATCAACCAATGAAAATAACAAGATATATCATGTCAGCTTTCTTCACCCAAAACGCTTTCGGTAGTCCATATGACCTTTCCGATCCATTTTCTCAACAGTTTCTTTTTCATCTTCTCCCGTTAAATTTATCCGTTATTAACAACATGAATCCTCTTCGACTCCCTCTCTCTCTATAATCCATACCAAGCGAAAAAAGCCCTAACAAATTACGTCGATGGTTAAGATTCAGTTACACATCCCTGTGTTGCGTAAACACCTACACATGTCTTAGCCGGAGATGGTGATCCTTATGATCGACGGGGAAGAATTTGTAAGGCGGCTTTCCGCGTCTTAGCGACGACTTGCTTCATTTGCCCTCGATCCATCGAGAAAGAAATCAAGCTTCTCTCAGGAACTCACGATGCAGTCATTGATGCCATGAACAATCGGGCACCCAAATCTTGATGTCGGTTTCATGTCTCGATCCTTTCTCAGGGCTCCAACTTTTTTGTTTGTTTTTCAAGGAAAATTGAAATGAAGGATTGTGTTTCAGTTGATTTTCTTTTGAAACTTTTTTTGGGTTGTTGGTTTAGGAATTCTGCTTGACTGCAGAGCTTCTTATAAAACAGTTGCCCATATAGAATGGCATTGAGGCAGAAGGGGAAGTTAGAGCTCATCGATATGCAGAGGTTAATTTTCATATCGTAAATTCTTCATATGTCTGCATCACAAACTATGTTTAAATAATAAGAATATCACCAATAGAAGGGAATGATATCACTCGGATACTTCTGTTTATGAGGTTTTGGGATGAGTTGATTGTTGAATTTGGTAGATATACAATGGGATTCTATTTATAATTTTTGTTCAGTTAGTTGTTTTTTTCCAACAGTTAATTGTTTTTGTATACATTTGGGTTGTGCCACAGAGATTCAGTTTGATTATATAATGTCACAAGAGAGGCATCCTTTACAGTAACTCTGACACGACATACTCTTTCTAGTGAAGCATATATGTATTCATCTTCCATTTGGTTAAAAATATCTTCTTGGATTGTTTTTCCCAATAAATAACATGTGTCTCACACAACGTTAATGTGTTTCTCTTCTACGATTTGATTTTCTTAGGTTGTGATTAATAAAAATAGTTTATGATATTGGTTCATATTTAAGAATAGAGAATGATATATGCTTTATAAAGAGAACTTGCTACACCAAATTACAGCATTCCGACAGTTTCAAACTCATCACCATCTTGTCAAAAAACCTAGCTTGAGACTCAACTTATAAAACTATTTAGACATAAATGAGTACAAAAGTCTTAGATTTCTTATAATGCTCTAAAACTCAATCTATGACTGAGATATACAGCCATAGCAAGTTATCTCTCTAAGACATTTTTAGCTCCCACATCAAAGGAGTATTTCACTATGATGTCTTGTATATATTCCTGAGATAAGTTTAAAAAAAATCATGTTACTTTTAAAATAAACTAATGGAAATGTTAACTATTAAAACAAAGAACAAGAAAAATATAATACATTTCTAGATTTTCCTTAATGATCCATCACATATTGTAATTAAAAGCTTAACGTTCACTTGCTGAACCCTTAAATGCTAAAATCCAAAAAAATGTTTTATTTTGATCATGTCACCCATATCTACAAATAAACCGTTTTGGTTGATAACAAACAATTATTAGCAAACATGAATGATGTATCATAACCTAACTGAAAAATGTAACTACATCAGAATTAAAAATTCTTTTCCAAAGAGAGCTTTGAGTGTGTATCGTTTTCTATCTGCGAACTTTTTCTTTCTCTTCAAAAGTATGTCATAGTACTATGTTATATTTTTAAGCAGTTCTTTCGAAGACATGTCAGAATTCATGCTCTGTCAGGATCATCTTGCTTATCTCAGTAGAGGGCAAGAGAATGTCAAATAAGTATTATGCTTCAATGCCATTGAGCAAAAAAAGTTGGGTCATGTCTTTCCAGCGAGTAAGACTGACCACTTGGGTATGTGGTTTGACATATAGGTTTTCTGAGACTTCATCTATGTAGAAGGTGAAAAAACCTTTTGAGGGTTTCTCTCGTGGATCACTATCTTGGTGATTAGAGGCTTTAGAGCACTTCAACTTCAACTGAAAAATAAATGTAGATAGCGATGACTTGAAAGTTATAAGTTGGGGTTTGTGAGAGTTTGGTATAAAAGTAAATAGTTGAATCTGGGGAATAAATATGCAAGATTATAAGCCATTGCTAAGAGATGAAGAAAAATGGGTATGCTCAAGTATTATTTAAAAAGGAAACATACTATTTCATCATTATTTTAGAAGAAGATAGCTTTCAAATGGAAGATTTGGAATGTCTCTCTCCAAGCAAAGATTAAGTTGTTTACTCTTTTTCGTTCCCTTTGCACAATATCTTTAGTTGAACGTGATTTCTTGAATTTGTTTGTTAAGACATTTGAGGAAGCAGACACAAAACATGATGGAAAGATTGATAAGGAAGAGTGAGAAGCCTTGTTCTTAGACATCCCTTCTTCTCAAGAACATGTCTCATCAGTATCTCAAGTGAGTTTCTATTTATGTAACCTCAATGGAATCTATGCAACATAATTTCTTATCTGGTTTCTTTTTACTCTCGATGATATGTAATAGATAAAGGTCTTGATCTTGTTTTGTGTGTGTTTGCAGGGATATCATGACTAATTTCCAAGCTTTGTGTTCCACTCTTAGGTTGAAGATACGTGAAGAAAACATGCAATCAACAAGACTTAATGATTTGTTTAATTTTTTCATTTGTTTCATTGAGATTTTTTGTGAAACAATATACAAAAGTTTTAATGTTTATTGATCCAACCAAGTAAAGTAAATGAGGTTTAATTTAGTATTTTAGATCTGTGAAACGTATAAACCCAAGAAGAAATGATGATTTGAAATTTTCAAAACTGATTTGACCTATTTTTATTAGGGTTTTGATTTCATTTTCAAAAATTCCGAAGAAGAGAGTAAAAAAAATGAAACTAAATTGGTTTTCATTCAAGCACATAGATGATGGAGTGTGTGGAAAGGAAGAAAAGAAGCCATTAGAGAGAAAGGATCTTATACAAACGAATATTTCAGGAAAAAAAAATTATGGCGTACAAGATAAAAATCATTTGAGAAAAGTATGATAGTTAAGATACTTGAAAGATGGATACAAAACCTCTAAATTAATACAAATTAAAAACATATCTTAACAGAGAAATTGGAGATAAACAACTAGACAATTATCAAAGAAAAACACCATTGAAAATAAAGCTAAATAGTTCGAACTTAACTTGATGACCATCTCCTGGTTGTTTTTTTTCGTTGCGTGTAAAACTCATACATATAATTTATGATTATGATATTGGTCTATTCAAGGATAGAAAACAATACATGCATTAATACACCAAAATTTATCTTCTTCTTAATAATGATCTTGTAGTATGTTTCGCTGTCAAATAATCATATGGAGCATCCCCAGTTTTCTTCGTCACTTGAAGTTATGGATTTTGTTCTTGCATGTTCATTTCCTCCTCAGACCAACCCCTCACAAACCCCAAACGTCTAACTATCAATTCATTAACATCAAAACATCTATTTTCCAGCTGAAGTGTTCTATATTAGTTTATAATTGAGTTTGATCACATATTATTAAAAGGTGTCATGTAGAGTTATGTCTTTATATTGAACAGTTGTGTCTCAATCTGAAGAGTCACAATTTTTAGTTATTTTTAAACTCTATATAAGTGTACGAATGTTTGTCATAAAAGACATAAAAAATAAGGTTTCAGTTACTCTGTTGTTTTTATAATACGAAACAGAGTAAAGTTAATTGTGTGCAATCTCGTTTCTCTCTTGAACAAGAACAAGTTATGTATGTGTTCTGAAGAAGTAATAACTTCCTAACATGGTATTAGCGCTCGTTTGAATCAAGGACCAAGCAAAGCACAAATAGCACTAGAAACCACACAAGTAACAAAAAAAAACAGAAACAGAGGCGATGGAGGGGAACATCGCAGCAGGTGATTCCTATATTCGATGGGGATAAGTACGAATTCTGGCATATAAAGTTGATGACCATCTTCAAGATCAAAAAATTGTGGACGGTGGTGGAACAAGGTATAGGAATTGCACAGTCAAGTGAGCAAAACGGCAGCGTTTTGCCACCACGCTTTACTTCAGAACAAAAAGGAAAGGCCATTATGACCCAAACACATGATGAGATCCAAACACAGAAAAAGCCCACAAAGGTGTCAGCTCAAACCAGCAAGCCCATCAATTTTTTTTCTTCTACTGGTCAACAAAGCTCCCAACGGTCGATGACGAGCAAAAGCAGTGTGCACAAACCAGCTGCTACTCGTACGGCTGAAGGAGCGTATATGGTTGAGCTGTCAAATGCAATATTAGCCTTAGATTATTCCTCTGATGCC